GGTAGCAAGGTGTTGGACCCGTTCGATCTTTTGTGCCTCGCCTCGGATAATCGGAAAGTAGGCGGGCGAACAGTACTCTAGCATTGGTCTAATGATGGAAGAGAAAAGTCGAGTGGCAACCTCTTCAGACCCTGTGCCGAAGCTACGTTTGAGCGCCCAAAACATGCGCAGTCCGTTACGATATAGCCTGTTCGTGTTGTCCACGGATTTCAAATCGTAGCACGAGAGTACACACAGATGCTTCACGGAGGGAATGGGATATGGCAGTTGGCCGTCAAGGGTGTAGGTTCGGCCGTTAGCACCCTTCACCAGGCTCATAAATACAGACTTGGCTGGGTTGACCGGGAGAAGAACTTTTGCAGACCATGTGGATAGGCGGTTGAGGTCTTGTTGAAGCACGCCACAGTCGTCGGGCGCGTCAAGTTCTCTCCACGTCTTCATGTCGTCCACAAACAATGCACACGGCGACCGGAGAAGTTGAGGTAGATCGTTGATGTGGATTAGGAACAGAGTGAGCCCCAGCACAGTGCCTTGAGGCACGTCACTTGTAGAAGGATACCAGTCAGTCAGACGGTCGTCGACCAGTACCCTACACTTTCGTCCAACAAGAAAGTCGCGGATCCACCGATGCAGTGACCTATCTACACCACACATCCTGAGTTTGTGATGAAGAACCTCGTGACTGACCTTGTCGAACGCTTTACTGAGATCGATGAATATCACATCGACAGACTTCCCTTGCTTATTGTCTTCAATCACTCATGCTTCGTCACAAGCAGGTTCGTAATGCATGAGTGGCCATGCATAAAACCGTGTTGTGCGGGCGTCAGGACCTCGTTTGACTGTAGCAACTGCAGAAATCCCTTCTTCATGATTTTCTCAGCAACCTTTGCCAAAATAGGAGTCAGACAAATTGAGCTGTAGTTGTCTTCTTTGCTAGGGTCGCCGCCTTTCGGAATAGGCTTCACCACCGCACATTTCCAGTCAACCGGCAACGAACCTTTTTGACAGCGACCTGTTGAAAAGGTTAGTCACGACAGGAGAGATGATGGTCGAAAGTGACTTGAGAACCAGTGGGTAAAGCCCATCAGGTCCGGCAGGTTTGCTGCCGTCAAGGTTGGCGAGTAGTTGACATACCTATTCAACGCCGCAATTCAGACTGTCGAGTTCGGTAAAAGCGGTACACGTCGAACTCGGAACAGACACCTGGTCATTTGCAAATACAGAAGTGAAGTGCGCCGCCAACGCGAACGCACACTCAGTGCTGGAGTTTGGGGGCTGTCCATCCGGGCCATCCAGCACTGGCACATCACCTGTCGGCTTCAGGTGTCGCTTCAAGTATGCAAAGATTCTCTTTGGGTGTAGATCCAGAGCGCCTTACGAAAGTCCGCTAGACGAGCTGTTAGTCATTGGATGATCGCAGTCTCTCTAATAAATGGAAAGTCGTCGAACAATTCTCGCCGGAGCTGAGTACAACGCACCATGCAGAACCACAGGTGCTGAGCTCAGACAGCTCCTAAGAAGGATCGCGAGGTTTGGTGGACACAGCGCGTCGTCGGGATGGAGAGGGCAGCATCCTCAGGAAACTCCTGCAAACTCTTCTAACTTATTCGCTCCACGGGAGGCAGAAGACCAACAGTGAGTGAGGGTTTGCGTGAAAATGACGGTGAACTAATTCGCAGTCGTCACTGTCGTCTGGTACGATGGGCAGAGCAATTTGAAGATCAATTCAACTGGTCAGCAGTGCAACAGAGTCTATCTTAAGAGGTTCACAGTGCTCCCTGGTGAGTGGATGTTTCTCCACCGACAGAGGCTGAGGTATCCAATGAGCTTCGGCTACTAAAGCGCCACAAGTTACCTGGTCCAGATGAACTTTCCCCTGCGCTGTTCAAATATGGAGGTCCAGCTCCCACTCACGAACTGACATCTCTATTCCATCAGATTTGGACTATTGAAACCATCCCATCCGACTGGAATTTACCGGATGTTGTATCTGTTTACAAAAAAGGAGACCGGACCATTTGCTCCAACCATCGTGGCATCAGTCTCATTTGTGTCACATCCAAACTGCTCGCTGCCCTACTGTTACGAAGGCACAGTTGCGTACGGGAACAACACCTGCGTGAACAACAAGCTGGATTTCGCCCAGGTCGCGGTTGCGTCGATCACATCATTACGATCCGCCAGATACTTGAACATCGCCATACTTTCAGTCGACCAATCATAGTCATATTCTTTGACATTCGAGGCGTTTTGACTCTGTTGACAGAGTGTCTCTTTGGGACTGTTTACTGAAGACGGGAGTACCTGAGAAGTACATCAGCATTTTCCGTGCTATTTACCATCAAACTTCGGGCCGCGTGTGAGAATACAGAAACATTCGCCTTCTTTCAGCATCACTAGCCGTGTTAGACAAGGTTGACCATCCTCTCCATCCTTGTTCAGTTTCGCCATGGACGAGATCTTGGATACTGCCCTGGATAACTCTGAGTCCTGCGGTGTTGAAGTGCTCACTGGTGACCGCCTTCGGGACTTAGAGTACGCCGATGACCCCGTTGTGATTTTCGAGTCATCCCAAGCCGCCCAGCATGTGCTGCTCAGACTGGAGATCGCCGCCCAATTTGGGTTGAGCTTTGCCCCTTCCACATGTAAGGTCCTATCACAGAATTTGCCAAACGCATGTCCTTCTCTCTCACCCTTTCGAGGCATCCGTTGGAAGTGGTCGACAAATTCATTTATCTTGGGAGTTGTCTTAATATTGGCGATTTGACAGATGAGATCTCGCTGTGTCTCCAAGGCTAGAGTCACTTTCGCTAACCTTTGTCTCCTGTGGCTTCGTCGTGATCTCAGCCTCGCTCTCAAGGTGCGAGTCTACAATGCTACGGTACGAGGGATTCTGCTCTACGACTGTGAGACTTGGCCCGTTCGCAAAGCGATGTTCAGCGGCTATCAATCATCGATCAGCGCTGCCTGCGAAGCATTGCGGGTATTCGATGGCAGCACCACATCGGTAAAGAGGAAATCCGTCGGCGAGTCGTCAGATCTAAGGAACTCAGCCGATCGATTGATAACATCATCTCACTGCAGAAGCTTCGCTGGCTTGGCCATGTGCTACGCATGCCTACCCGGCGGCTACCACAACGAGCCCTATTCCGGAGCACAGGTGGGGCCTGGAACCGACGAAAAGGAGGGCAATGTAAAACTTGGATCCAATGTGTTAAGGCGAAAACGATGAAGCTGGCTGTTGTCGGGCGTTCCCGACTACCGGGTTGGGGACCAATGGATCCCAAACACACCTGGTTGCAAACGCTAGAGGATATGGCCAAGGACCGTACGCAATGGCGTACTTGCTGTGAGACCCTTCTATCCTAACAGCTGTCTTCCCTTTCATGCTGTCTTTTTCTTACGTGTTGTGGCACTCAGCCAGTTATATTGTAATTGGTACAGTGTTGAATATATATATATATATATATTGCGAGATGCTCTTCAAAATGTCGGCGCTTATTCTTTTTTGCGCTGTTGCAGAGGTTCCGCTGAATTTTACCTCCTTCGTAATCATTAGAAGAGCCAGAGAGGAGAAATTTGTCCCACAGTCTGCGCCGCCCCCGAGCAAGATTTCCATACTGAGTGTCAAACCAATAAGGCTTAAGACATTTCAATGGCACAAATTGGGAGCACAATGATGTCAATCTCTTTTTTATAAATATCCAACAGTCTTCCACAGATGCATTTTGGGACAGATACCAATCCAGTTGGCTCGCGGCTCCAGCTAGACCATCGAAGTCCGTTTTCCAGTAGTTGTGAGCTGGTTGCAGCAGACGTGAATACGGGAAAGATAATTCCATATCAGCTATGTGCACTGAATAGTCGCTTGTAGCCAGGGGCTCCAGGATCCTAACGTCACGTACTCGTTGTTTGTAGCTCATTAACTTCAGGTCGAGACAGGACGGAGTTGAGCGTATTGTTATGCATGTTGGTTGGCATATGTGTTGCGATGCACCAGTTTCAAGTACCAAATCCACGAATGTTGCTGCAACCTCACTATGTCCAGGCAACAAATGCACATCAGGCCATCGTATTCGAGGACAGTTAAAATCGCCCATAAGTAGAAAGTGTGGACGACTCATGTGGGTTCGAAGGTGGGGCAACCAATTCAAACAAGGACTCAGGGGTCTGCGATAAACTGCGCCCACAAGCAGTTCTCCGCGCCTGAGGTGGGTGGAGCAACACAGTAGCTCACGCAACTCATCGTCACTTCGGTATTTGTTCACAAGTCTCTCAGAAATGATAAGAACTAAACACGTTGGACATGTTTCGCCTTTATATTAACCTGTTCAATTACTAAAGAATCTTCAACTTCCAAAGAGTAAAATAACATAACCCATTTGGAAATTAAGAGGATTATCTCAGATGAAGAACGGCATAATTTTGCCTCAGGTAAACGATCGCTGACACAATCAGTTGTAACCGGCCAACTAGCAGACCGTATGCTACCTGAATTACATTCGTGTGTAGCATCTAGTTGCCTGATGATGAATGTGGGATGGCCTTGGTTCGGAATTCTCCCCTATGACTACTTTAATTGGTACAAAAACAGAAATTCGATTTCTCGAAGCACTGATTGATTCTGCATTTTTTCAGACGCAACTAGGTTGGACCACAATGAAAAGAACAAGATTGTGCTTACTGGGACACAGAAGGACCAAACCCAGTGCTGCTAGTTTCTTAGCAATGCATCAGTTGACCAGCAGCCTGTTAAATGAATTCGAAGCGTAGTACTCAGCTTGGCGCAGTTAACTGCACCCCCCCCCTGCGATGCAGGTTACTTGGGGAACGTCGAGATTTCCCGTGTGCGTTTCTGAACTCATTCATTATAACAGAGAGCAAAGCTCACAGGGTGAATTCGGATCTCGCTGATGGGAATCAATACGTCGTTCATATTATTTCACTTTAGAATAACGTGTCTTTGTCTAAATTAAATGTCAACCTTTGTCTTCCAGGTTCAAATTGCGATATGTGCCACAATAAACTATACAAGATTACAAAGGCATCGGTACTACGAATGTTCTGATGTAGGCGAAGAGGGAGAAGCTCTACATCAATGATCAAGAGCGAACAACCCATTCTTTGAGGTAGCAAAGGATGCCAATTCCGGAAACCAGATTCTCGAAATTTGTTTTCACTCGGACATCAGTGAATAACATTCATCTGAACAGGCAATGAAAGGACCGTGCTGTTCTTACTGTATATTCTCTGCCTCATTGTCACTAAATTTAACCCCAGTACCTTTTGGTTTCAACCCAATTCCACTTTTATTCCTCCCTCAAGCATAAGTGTTGGTTTCCCAATTTTTCATTTCATCATGAGATGCAAATCAGCGAACACAGACAGACAGATTACTAATTATGATATTTCGATAATTATCATCCAATTAAAATTAAACCCGTGTTATTCATCGCAAATAATGGTCTTCTACGATACACGCTAAATGTCGAAGTCCAAGGGGAATATCTCAAACAATTATGTACAAAACGTTGTGCTATGTAAATGATTTTTGTCGCAAATGGTTTTCGAAACGTACTGAAACTACTCGTCGACGCGTCAGTTGGGGAATTCTCAAACAGCAGTCCGCTTGACAACGTTTGGACAGAGTTGGTTGATAGACTCAGTGACATGGTCTACAGAGCATCAGAGACCAAGCCCCTTCTTCCCGCAAAATTGTCTTCAATGCTAAGGAACAGGACGCGAAAGTGCCTGGCGACAAGAGATGCAGGATGGCGTGCCTACAAGATTAACCCCGACTCAGAGACTTGGGGAAATTTCCTGACCCATCGCAACCACTGCACTGCACTTGTCCGTGAGGACAAAGTAACTTATCAACAGTGCCTAGTCAAAAAATTCCTGGCAAACAACAAACTGCTGTATAGGCATGTCAATAATCTTCGCAAAGTGAAGCATGGAATCCCTCCGCTTTTCACGACAGTCGGTAGAGTACCAAGCGCCGAAGAAGCAGCCAATGCCCTGCGGCAACAATACGCCCCAATTTTCGAACTCGCAGCCTCTACCTGTCCCATAATGTCCTGCACATTACCGGCTCCGTTTTTTACAAATATAATATGCAACCCATCTGTTGTGTTGAGGAAGTTACTCTAACTGCGCGATCATAGCTCTCCGGGAGCCGAGAACATCCGCCCGAAAGCACTGAAGACTGCGGCAACTAAGCTAGCTGAACCATTGTCATAGTTCTTCCAAAGGTGCTTTGATGAACAACAAGTCCCCACTACGTGAAAGCGTGGCATTATCACCGAAATTATTAAAATCGGTAGCCGTTCAGAGTCTGCAAACTATGGCCCAGTGACTCTCCTCCCTGTGCTCGCGAAGATTATGGTAGCGGTCGTCGCTGAGGCTCTAATGGACTACTTGGAAAAACGGTACAGCTTGGCACCGGAGCAGCGTGGCTTCTGACAATACCGGTGACGCACCACCAACCTACTGGTTCACGAGGTAGTTGGACGGAAGTGGCTGATGATGGGGTCGGAGCTGACGTCATCTATTTGGACTTGTGCAAAGTTTTGGACCGCCTGGATCACCACATCCTACTTCACCGGCTACAGAGCTACGGAATCGGAGGTCATGTGCTTGGTTGGATTGGCAATTTCTTCACCAATGGAAGCTTTAAGTACGCTTAAGGGATCATTCTCTAACCCGATTGAGGTGGAATGTGGTGTCCCACAAGACTCAGTGCTGGGACCGCGCTTATTTCTGGTGTTTATCAACGACCTGGCAAGAGTTACTTCCTCAAATTTCCTGCTTTTCACGATGACGTCAAAAGATGGTGGACCATTAGTAACAATAAAGATCAAGATATACTCCAAGGTGACTTAGACTGCATTTATGAATGGTCAAAGAGGAACCTGCTTCAGTTGAATATAGCTAAGTGCAATGTGATTCATGTGCGTCACCAGCCGGTGAGCGCTTACAAACTTGGAGAACACACCTTGCAGTAGGACTCTCAGGAGCGTGACCAGGGTTTACCGGTACAGGAAGATCTCGAGTGTTCAAACCAAATAGAGAAGTTGACGAGGACCGGCAATCAACACTTCAGCCTGCTTCGCAGAGCGTTCGGTCGGTTTGACCCCACAATCTTTCCTCAACTGGTAAAACCTACGTGCAACCGCACGTGGAATATGCTATCTAGGCGTGGCAGCCGTGGCAGAAACAGGACTTCATTGCTCTCTAGACTTCTCAAAGAAGCGCAACCTAGAACGTCAGGGGTCGCTTTTCATCTGCCCTATAAGCTTAGACTGAAATCTCTAGGAATGTATAGCAGTTGATATCGGCTTTTCCGGGGGGATCTCCTTAAGGTTTCCAGATTCAGAACAACCCAAACCATCATTGCCGCCGGCTGCTGCAATGGAACCACAAAACAAACCTGAGAGGTCATGTTCTGAAAATGACAACACAGTATACCCGCCTAGAATGCCGTAGAAATTTCTATTACCGCGTGCGCCAAACTTGGAACATCGTTCAAAATCACGCCTCTGCACCCAAAATTATGATATTAAAAAGAGTTGGCAGTGCGTTGTCGCGTTTGTATTTCATTCTACTATTTGTTAACCAGGGCGTACAAAAAAAACCGTCTCTTAACAAACTCCAAACCAATGGGTTTAATGAGTTATACTTTTAATACACGAGCATCTACGCTATTCTACAAACTCTGTGTAAAGTGTAGTAAAATCCTTTTCACTATACTCGCAAATTTTACCAATGGAAATACAAGAACACAATTTTGCGAAGAGTATTCTTTTCAACAAATCTCCTCAAGCATTTACAATTATAAAATGGAAGGGCAGAGCATAAATAGCTGATGAAGCCAAAGAGGTAGGAGTAGTGGAATCACGACAAACAGAAACACAAAAGTCTCGATCGATAAAGTAGACTAACAACACATGTGACAGAGCACGTGATGGTTGATCGGTGGAATGCCAAGCGCATCATCCGATCACTGTAGGCGCACGAAGTGATAAAAGTTGGTAGGCTAATAAGGCCAAGGTAGAATAAGCCCTTGCAGCAAAGCCTTCTGTTTGTATAATTCCGGTTGAATCATCCTAATCGGGATCGCTTCGGTCATCCGTAAGATTTGCTTTCTAAGAATTTTAGTGTACCTTTGCTGTACTACATAAGTACTTGGAAGACAAAGTGGTCCTTAGTTGGTGTCCACTTGCCACCAGATGTTCCAGGATGGAACTGTTAGGGCGACTAACAATGCCCTTCCGCAAAGCCGCTGAACAATGCACTGCAATACGTTTAGATAGATGCTTAGTTGTGTGTCCTACGTACCTCGCACCACAGGTGCAGGTAAACTGACATAAGATGTAAGATTGGGACTGAACCGGAAGTCTGTCTTCAACGTGTTGGGCTGTAAAGGGAGCAGTTTCCGCAAGGACGTGTAGGCAGGCGGCGGGGAAGGTTCGAGCTATTGCATTGAAAATCCTTCTGGTCAGAAGATCAAAGGCAACATCACCTTTAAAGGGAATTGATAAGAACACGTCCTTCTTAGTGACAATAGTAATCACTTCACAGCTATCGCAGATCACTGCATTTTTTTGGTGAATGGCGTCGGGTAAATTTCCAAGTACTTTATATAGTACAGCAGCGGTACACAAAGGTCGTAGGAAGCAAATCTTACGGATGACCGAAGCGATCCCGATTAGGATGATTCAACCGGAATTATACAAACAGAAGGCTTTGCTGCAAGGTCTTATTCTACCTTGGCCTTATTAGCCTACCAACTTTTATCACTTCGTGCGCCTACAGTGATCGGATGATGCGCTTGGCATTCCACCGATCAACCATCACGTGCTCTGTCACATGTGTTGTTAGTCTACTTTATCGATCGAGACTTTTGTGCTTCTGTTTGTCGTGATTCCACTACTCCTACCTCTTTGGCTTCATCAGCTATTTATGCTCTGCCCTTCCATTTTATAATTGTAAATGCTTGAGGAGATTTGTTGAAAAGAATACTCTTCGCAAAATTGTGTTCTTGTATTTTCCTGGGTATACTTTATGAGTTAAAAGAGAACAAGTAACCTAAGTCGTTTAAGGAGCTCAACAAATATCTGAAGTTTAACGCCAGAGTTGCTGATGCGAGGACCGATATTAAATGCATACGAGAATGTTTACAGTGCAACCAATGTCCTAAGGTATATTGGAAAGCACTTAAACGGTGTCATGTACTGCGTACCACTAAGTCGCTTAAGCGGCGTGCACACTACATACTGGAAAGTGTTGTGTCCCGACTCCCTGAGATGGAGTGACTATATTCACGTTACGATTCAATCGTAGAAGAGCTCTATGCAGTCCAGCGTGATGCTTTCAGGCAATATGTCCATGACGTCTATGCCAAGATGGAAGGGAAAAGCACGCGAAATTGCTTAATGGTTTAAACTCCACCAGAATGCAAGTTGCCAACACACCCGGAAAAATATGTCCAAAATCTATCTAGACTGCAGCGGAGTCAGCTGCAACTTGAGGCACTAGCACTCGGACCAATATTTTGCTTCTTTCAGCGTCAATGTGGACAAATTCCTCTGGAGACCCATTTTGTAAACTTGATGCATCAATTAAACTAGCTAACATCTACGTCAGCACATGCAAAAGATACTTTCAGAAACACTTTGGTTCATGTTTAGCAGCAGTGTATGAGTTGCAAAACCAAATCTTCTAACGTATTGACTAGGAAACACAGAGAAGCCATCAAGGAAATAAGAGCAAATCCTCATTTAGTTATCTCTAGAATCGACAGGGGCTCCGCATGGATACTGATGAATAGATGCTACTACGTTTCCAAAATGCAGTCTATTTTGCAAGACTACAATAAGTTCTTTTGTGAAACGGTACAGAAATATAAAACCAAGCAGGATGAGCTTAAAAGCACTCAAGTGTTGAAGAAGATGAGTCGTATGAACCAAATAGATAGTGTGCTACTGGAACAGCTAACTCCAGTGGGTTCCCATCCTCCACGTCTTTATGGACTATCTAAAGTACGTAAACCTAAAGTCCCTCTGCGTCCGATAATCGACATGTCAGTCTCAGCTACTCACTCGGTTGCGAAATGGCTTGGTCGAACCAATACACAAGGCGTTATGCACATACACAGTGAAAGACAAATTTGAATTTGTGAAACGAGTAGAATGCATGGAAGCAGAAGACAGACTGAAGCTCTCTCTGGACGTTGAGTCACTTTTTAAGAAAGTTCCATTGATGGAAACTGTCAATTTTCTATATGATTACGTGAATGAAAATAACATTGATGTGAGTATTCCGGTGAGGAAACTGAAGGAATTAATTTTACGGTGTATCTTCAACCGACAATTCTTATTTAATGGCGTCTACTACCGACGGATTGACGGTGTCGCGGAGGGATACCCCTAGGACCACTCC